ACCCCCAAACCCAGTAAATCCCCCCCCCCCTTCCACCCCTTTTTTCTCGTATCTGTTCCACCGGGTGGTTGTTTTGATTCTCCAGGCTTTCCCGCTCTCTGCCACACGATGCGCCCCTGGCCGTCCGTTGGATCCTACTAACAATGGTTCTGAACCACTAGCACCCACAACTTTGGATTCCCGCGCAGGCTGATCTCCAAATACCATCCGAGACCAGGCTAGAACCAGGCCGGGCCGTCAGAGGCACAGCCACCGCGCCGATTCGCTCTGTGCAAGCAGGGCCCCTGTACTTTGAATGCTGGGTTGAGCAAGCAAAGCTTCCGCCCAGCACTACTACTCCCGAGGCACCCTCACGTTCGCCTACATTTGACAGCAGTGAAGGTCAACCAGACGCTACAACATCTTTCAGTTTGTAATTCTTCTTCTTGTCATAGTATTTCATGATACCTCGAGAATTATACATGGATCAAGAGAAAGCCCCTTGATGCGGAGCAGCCTTTATTTGCGCTCATATTCTTTCCGTGGACGCGTCATCCCGCCTGCCCTTCCATCTTGCGCCGCTTCGGTTAATAATCGTCGTAGTATACACAAAACGTCTTGTCAGTTACATCACAGTCCACACGTTATGCCAATTTCGGACATGAATTCTCCGTCGATAGCCTCATTTCTTCACGCCATCCTGCGCCTGACAAAGCCAAGAACACGTCCGAGGCGCAAGAATACTTAGTCTGCTCCTCTCAACATGGCTTTCAGGCTCACCATTTCCCTCTTGAGGCGAGCATTCTCCTTCTTCACCCTCGCCGTCTCCTCCCCTTGCTCCTTCAGCTTGGCCACCAGCTCCTCCTTGTCATCCCTGCCTTTGCCTCTCACGGCCTTGATAATTTTGCCCAACTCGCCGTTAAACTTTTCGTAAAGCAATTCATTTTCCGCCACCACCTCTTTGTGAAGCTGGTCGATAGCGCGTAACTTAGCCTCTGTACTCTTCATCGTAGTATCTAGTTCCTTCTGCGTTGTGGCCTGCTGTTCACGCAACTCTCTCATCATGACTCCGATCCGATCCTCTAGTTCCTTTAGCGAGGCAGTGAACCCAGACATGTCCGTCTGAGATCTGGGTGACCGAGCATCGTTCACCCGAGCCATTTCGTCCCCAATATTGGACAATTCGCTTTTCAGCGAGGAATCAACCTCCTGGGCGAATTGCTTCTCAGATTGAAGCCGCTCTCTAAGTTTTTGCGGCGAGTGGAGCCGGAGGCGTTGAGCATTAGATCGCGTCGGACTCCCGGGGCGAGTTGCGAAGTCGGCACCAGACGCCGACTTGGTAGGCCGAAGTGTAGGGATGCTAGATACCGACAGGGCTTTGGAGTGTCGGAAAATCTTGGATGGGGATTCCGGTAATTTGGACGAATTACCACCGGAGTGGTCGGATGCGTGGCTGACGACCTTTTTAGAGGAATCAGCGAGGTTTTCTTTTTCCTTTTGCCTGGAGGCGCGTAAGGCTTCAGCCGCGCTGGGACTGAGCGGGATCTTGGAATGGGGTGTCGATTTGGGGCTGGTAGGGTTGTTATTCATCTTGCCAGATGTTTGCTTCGTGCTTTGCAATGGCTGGAATGGCTGGTCGTCTAGCGTTGCGGCGGCCATCAGACTCTTGAGATCTGACAGCGAGCTTCGCCTCTTCTTTTTCGGGTTCTTCGTATTTGAGACCATTCTATCGGTAGGGGAGGGCTCGCCGATGGTGTCGAGTGGAAAATTATGACGGCGGGAGCTGGCTGGGCGCTGTGGTGTCTCAGCGAATGCACCTGCGATAGGGGGCATGTCTCGGGACATGGGACGCCGGTGCAGTTGCTTTGGTAGGCTGTTATCATCTATTGAGTGTGCTCTGTACAGCTTGCCGTGTGCGCCGCGTGATAAGCTGGACGTGTCGCCCGTAGCGGGATTCCTATGCTTGCTCAAGGTTCGCCATACCGATGGTCGCTCATCCTGTGAGTTCTGTCGAAGAAGGGCATTGAGCCCAAACTTGCGACGAAGTGACGACGCATTGGATGTGATTGAGCCCGTGTGAGCCTTGCCTTGTTGGTAGCCAGACGCAAGAGATTCGGAAACAGAAGAACCAAGACTAAAGCTCTGATGAGCACTTTGGTCTTCAAATATCTTATCGCAGTCTTCGACGAGTCGATCTAGTAAATTAATGTAGTTGTGAGCATCGCCATCAGTGACGAGAAGCTCAGCAAATGCCACAGTCAATGCGCCCCTGTCACTGTCGTTTCCACAGCCATCTAACAGGTCAGCCAGCAGCTTGATCACGGTGATGAAAGCTCGTCGATTTTGCGGTGCCATATCCCGGAAAAGATAATTCACAAAGTCGGCAAAATTCCCAGGGACTCTCTTGTTAGCTCTTTCAAGTAGAGTATCCATTGCTTGTATGGTCATGACAGGACCCATCTGGTCCGCCCAAGCAATATGCAGAAATTTCTCGAATGCGACGAATATGACTTCCGTGCCTATATCGGAGGCGACGTCGTATTCGAACGGGGATTCAATGAATCTGTTGTATATATCATTCACAGACAACTCATCAACAAGCGATCGATTTAGTAATGTACGACCAATTAGGGTGCCCTTTCGAGACTGAAGAGCCGCGGTAAAGCCGGTAAATGTTTGCTCTAGTCTGAACAGGGGATTCTCTGGTCGCTCGTCAGCGGTGTTGGGGCGGCTGTCCTTGCCTTTAATCGAACCAAACATGGAGTGAATGCTATTCGCTCGATGGAGTGATGGCTGCTGCTGGGGTTTCACGCCAGATACAATAACATCTGGCGTGTTGCTTGCGCTGCCGTTCCAGAGGCTGGAAAGGAGCTTTACAGGTGCTGCCGCAAGGAAGGATCGGCCTTTCTCAGCCCTTGTGGAGAAATTCAGTCCTCGTATTGTCTTGGTATAATAGGATACCATAGAAGCAGTCAAGTGGGTATTGCTAACATTGAATTGAGTGCTAAGTAGCTGGATGACTGTGGTTGATGGGTGAGTATGTGTCCAATTACCCCCTTTGACAAAAAGTACTTACTGCGACGAGTCATGGTAGGGAGCAAGTCCTCCAAGTCGATGTCATCTTGAAACTGCTTCCCATTGAGACCGACAGTGAGCATCGAAACCCGCTTGAGGTTGTTGCTGGAAACATTGATCACTATCTCGACTCCGTAGTGGCCGAGCGGCGCTCCTTTTGTGCCTTTCTCGTGATCTACCACCACACGAATCGCGGCTGGTTCTCTTCGACCCTCGACTAGTTGATGGGCGCCTTCTTGAAAGACAGCCACATGCAGTCCCAGGTTACTATCCTGCATACGAACTGATCGGAGCGTCCAACAAGGGTTCTCTCGCTCAGTTTCTGAGAACCGTGCTTCAACCCGCGCCTTGACTACATCTTCGCCCCATTTGGCAGCCTTGCCTTCAAAAGCCTCCTGAAGCAAAAAGCACCGAGACGTGGGCGCCTTACTAATCTTGTACTCTCCGGCATGTGCGTCCTTCATATCTCTTGTCGAAGTCATCCACACTAACGAGCCATCTTCCGACTCAGTAAACCGCACGTCTGCAAGGCTATGCCAGCCCGTGAATGCGAATTCATACGACGCCGGACCACCGGCAGCATTCGTCATCGAAATCAGCAGCTCTGCAGCGGATGGCTTATCGATTTCCCGGAGCAAATCACGTCCTGTCATTGTGAACCCAATCTTTCTTAGTATAATGACGCAGTCTGTAAATAACAGGAAAACGCCAGAGTTGTCCAAGTCGCTCGTTCCACCTTGGAATGGAGATGTCAGTTCAATGAAATCGGCCGCGATTATAAGTCGGCCCTGCGGCTCCAAATCCCTTGGCCACGATTCAACCATATTTCGAAGTCTGTTGGCAACATGAGGCTGGTCCGGTAGCGGGTCGTCCATGGAACAAATATTGGTAATAATATCTCTGGCCTTCAGCATGGGCTGAAGCGCGGGATGCGTCATTGGTAAAGAGCCAACTATTTGATCAATAAGGAGGCTGTATCGAGGCAATCGCTGAACGGGTTCAATAAGAATAGACCTGACAGTCTGCTCGCCAGTTTGGTTTACCCTTTGCCTAAAGCTGGACTGTTGGTCAAGAAAAGAGTTGAGCAATGTAGGGAAGTGCTGGCTAGCCTTGATGTAATCCTGGTAGCTCTGGGTGAACTTTGGAAACCATTCATGAAATAATCTAGCCATGCTCAAGGCTCCACTGGGATCTTTTGCTCGAGCTGAACCTGAACTTTTCATGCTGCCTAAGGTCGATGTAGTTTGGTCCATGTCTCTGAGAGCCCCATCCTCGGTTTCATCCATAATCTTGCGAAGCTGGTCCACGAAGGCAGAATTCAGCTGTAGTATCTGATCTGCCGATTGGGGAAAGAGTCTTTCCAATTGTTCTTCTGAAGGACTGAGACTTCCCTCTGGCCTTGCCCTGGCACTTTCCCGAAAATGCTTGGCAATAGTATTCACCAATTCACGAAGCTTCATGACATATCTTTCCTCCGTGTCAACCAGCTCAGCTAGCTTCATGCGGAGCTCATATTTTTGGTCCTTAGTGAACGATCTCCCTCGGTTTAATGATGTGGGTTTCGATGGCGCGCGTCGTAGCCTGTTTGTTGGTAAAAACACCGGCTCGCCGAACAACTTGACAAGAGGTGTATATCCGCCATACTGTCTTAGCGTTGGGTCTATTATGTCATCTTCGTCGTCCGGCACTTCTTCCAAGTCGGCAGGTTGCAGAGGCACAATCGCGCCTGGCGGGAGAACAAGATCGAGATCCACGTTATTGACATGCTGCGTCTGAAGCGCATCCTGCAACGAGGCAATCACTTCGGCCGCGTTGTCACTTTTGACCATGGATGCGACCAAAGCGGCAGCATGTTGTTCGCCAAAGAGAGCCGAGGCGGTACCGGGGCGCTTCCCTCTCGTCGGATATAGATTCTTGAGATAGCCTTTGACTCCATCGGGGAGCTCTGAGAAATATTTGAACAGGCCAAAGGCCATGCCACGGAATACCTCGTCGACCTGAATCTCTCGGGGTAGATGATCGACGACTCCGTAAAAGGGCGAGCTCGGGGAGATGGTGATTCGAGGAAACGACTGAAACCCCGCAGACGACAGGATGTGTATTTGGACGCGAGAGGTGTTGAGGGTGTAGTTGGCCGTCGTCGAGGGCCCGTGGAATATGAGGACCGGGAGGTGACCGAGCAGCGGATCAGAGGCATGATACAGAGAAAGGGCGTCTGGCGAGAGCGCCAGGTCGTCCGTCACACGAACCATGGTCTGGTCAATGGGCCGCACTCATGGCCCTCGCCTTGGCTGACCTTCGGATGGTGTCTTGCGGCTGTGAACAAATATCTGATCGTCGAAGGCACCGGCAGGGAGACGCGATGGTCAGCGGGGTGATGAGCCAGGCTCGTCTCAATGGAGAGGACTCGGCGCAGCAGCGGGACTAGTGGGCCGTAAACATGGGGAGACGGCGCGAGTATGCAGAGCTGACGCAGGTCGTCTCGCGTAGCCAACCCCAAGTGTGTATCTGCCAAGATAGGCCTCCAATGCTGGGGAGGCGAGTGAATGAATGGATGATATCAAACACAAAAATGAAAAGCATTAAATAAGAACCATGCATCTAGTTTACATTGAAACGAGAGCACGGACATGCAAGGAATATGCAAGTCGTGAAACACCAATCTCTTCTTCACCCAGTGCCAATATCTGCGACAGATTCATGCAGAGTTGATGACCCAAGCGGCCAACAATCGGAGTGCCAGCGCCAGCAGCAGGAGCGATCATGGGATTGGTCCTTCCGTCTTGCGACAGACGCGGTTGACGCGTGGAGCCTAAAAATTATGATCGATGGTAAACAATGACATCGCCCGGTGGTCCATGGCGGCCACCATGAGCCGAGAGTGGGGCTGCGAGTCACCAGGGGTCAAGCTGTTGCTCACTCATTTCACCTCACCTCGCCACCGGAGCATTATCTGGGTGTTATACGGAGTACGGAGGACCCGTACGCAGGATCCTAGACAAACAGCATGATATAGCCTACCTACCAAGGTAGTATCATAAAGGTACCCCACAGTCCTCCACACTTGTCAGACATCGCGTCTCCTCCACATCCATCGCAATGTCTAGCCAGAGTCAGGGAATAAAACTCATGCACAACCCGGACAGCTCGGGATACCGTCTCCTTGAGCTTCCGCCTGATTTAGTCAACCTGCTCGAATCCGATACAGCACCAGTGTCAGTCCTATCCTCCCAAGTCGCTCGCAAGTTTCCCTCTAACCACTTCATGATAGTCTCACGCTCGAATCCTCTGACAGCTCAACTGTGCTTCGCACACCGAGTAAGACATACAACCTCCGCCAGAAAAACACATCCAACGGCCTGTTTCTCTTGGCACCACATTCTTCTTCGGATTTGCTCGACCAAGGACTTGATGTTATATCGATAATTCACGAGACAGTGGAGCTTGATGTTGTTCCTGAAATGCCTGCGGGACGGGATAAGCTTGCGGATACGGGAAGCAGGGGCAAGTGGCATGAAATGTTTGGAAAGGGACGGTGATTGCGAACTGTGAAAGGACTGTGAGAGGGAAAGAAATGTTGTGCTTTTACGCCGGCTGGCATTGGCTTGCGTTGAGTCTCGTTTGAGCCACATACGCTGTAGCGGAATTGCATTGTATCTTATACTAATAACTATATTTTACAAATAAGCTTTATTACGATTCATGGGTATGCGAGTCGAGGATCCAGTGGCCCCTTTTGAGCAGTTCTACACGAACCAACATGTCTCTTGGACCAGTTTCAGTGATGCTCAATAGTCAAGCCCCCATCGTCGCCAGCGTCATCCTCGTCATCCCCAACTGGAAAGAAACTCGACGTATGATGCTGCTCTTCTTCATGTTCTTCCTCATAACCTTCTGGAAGAAATCCGCCAGCCATGTCCTCATCTTGGGTTGCAGCCGCAGCATGTGCATGGGGTTTCGAGGCAACGTCTTTACTGTGTCCAAACACTGACACACTCTCATCAACCTCGCCGTACTCCTGTCGTATCCTCTCGACGATTCGCAGCCCCATGATAAATTTCCGCCACTGCCCCAAAGCAGCTTTGCGCCGTTTCTCATCCTCCTTTCTCCTGCGCTCTGCCTCGTCCTTTTCAAGTTCAGCCATGACCTCGTCGTGAAACTCCTCTGCAATGACAACGCCTTGAATAACGGGGACAGCCATTCGATGTCCAAACTCAAAGTCGACAACAGCCTCTGCATAGTCGATCTTGAGGCGTTTGCATACCTTCATCGCGCCTCGGAATGGAACATGCGCGGCGCCTTCGGGTAACATGTGCTCGACGAAGAGATCGATGTTCCTGAAAACTGGTAAGAGAACAAACGTATTCGGGAGTGTTGCAAATGATTATAACCTACCCGTACTCGTTTTTCGGAATAATGCCGTCCTTGATAGGAGGTGGAATAATCCAGTCCGTCTGCTCATAACTATACAACCCTTGCAAAGCCTTTTGCCCAGTGGCAGCCTCGGCCTCGAGAATTTCTCTCCGTCGATTGGTTGTTGCTGCGCGGTACGGAACTCGCTTCAGCGGCTGCTCTCCTGCAAGAGGAGCGCGCCCCTGTTTGTGCCACGTCTCTGCACTCTTGACCTGGAGAACATCTGATCGCAGGTAAACATCTTCCTCCTCTGCTTTGCCCCCCTTCGCCTTATTCTTGAATTTTTTCACAGGTAGAGCGCCTCGTTTCAAAGCCTCTTCCCGCTTCAAGTGTCTTTCAAGGACGAATTCTTTAGATTGTTTGTAATACTGAAGAGTCTCTTCGCCCTCTTTTACCTCCTTCTTTTCCGGCCTTGCCGGCTTCAGGTCGTTTGAATCTTCATCGTCATCTATTTCGGTGATTGGATAAGCTTTTGTTCCTCTCCTGTATCCCGACATGGCAGACTTGAACCAGTCAAACTCTTCGTAACGCTTCACTTTTCCATGGCGGTTGTAAATTGGCACCTTTTCTATTGGCATTCGCACGCCCTTTGTCCTGCCAGGAACCACTTGCCTTTTCAGGTACCTGACCGTCACGTCCTTTGCCGTCCCGTCAGGAGAGTATCCGACAATATAAGCCGTGACCTGCCGAGCTTTCTCTGCCTTTTGACCCCGGGGCTCAAACGCCTCGGTGATTTCTCGATTCGTTGCGATGAGGCTCTTCACAATCGGATCAACAGACAGGTATTTGTTCGTTACTGGAGACAGAACCTCTGCCCAGTAATGGGGATATTCCAAATCTGAATCAAATTTGCTAACAGGTGTTTTGGACTCTTTTGGAGTTACCTGCATTACCACAACCGGTTCATCGTCTGTGTCAGTATACTCTCTTTGCAAATCATCTATTTCGTCTGAGGCGGTCTCCGTAGCGGCCGCGGCACGACTTGACTGCTGTCGCTTCGAACGAGTTGCTGCAGATTTGGCCTTTGTTTTGTTTGTCTTTTTTACACTGGTTTCGTCGGTGGTCTTTGCGAGTTTTGCAATTTTCATATCCAGCTCTGCCAGCTCAGGCTCTAGATCCGCATCCTCCAAGCGGTTCCAGCCAAAGCCCAAGGGTTGTAAACTGGCAACCATCCTGGCCTCGAGTCCAAGACCTCGCAGTAGCCCAGTGAATAACTGCGCCCCGATATCCCTGCTTCCTTCGCATTTCATCGCACACTGCCGAAACTCATCTAGGCTTGCTACTCTTTCTCCAAAGCGACTGCAGTCAGCATATTCGTCCTTATATGCCTTTGTCAACCTGTCCAGCCTCTCCAATGCCATGTAGCCCCATTTTCTTAGCCCAGGAGCTGTGATCTTGAATCGTTGTTTCCACCAAGAGGCCAAAGATTGCATCAATCTGAACAGAGGATCGCCATGGCTCATATCAATGGCTCCTTCCTCTAGCCGTCTTGCTGCATCCCCCCAATCACGGGATTCCTGCTCCTTTCTTTTGAGTTTTGCACTTTTCTTGACTCTGCCAGTTGAGGACTCTGGCTGAGAAGGTCGTTTGGTGAGGCCCGAGTTCTGCCTCCAACGTTCTACCTCATCCCACATCTTAGGCGGCAGATGAGAAATCATTATTCCCTGCACTTCAGGATCACACAACCACGAATTTCGTACAGCATTGTGCCAAAGGAGGGAAAGAACATGAAGACAATGTGTGGCATTCCGCACCTTTCGCTCACGTTTTGACGGCCCTTTCTTATCCCCGAACACGTTTGTCAGTGACAGTCTCGTGTCTTTATTCAAGGTTAGCTCAAGGTCTCCGGATACAACTGGAACGATTGAATTGGATTGAGCTGGAGCCTCGACATCTTCGAATTCAAAGTCTTCGTCATCGTCATCCGAGACATTTGGATTGACCTTGGGTCGCTTTGCAAGGGGCACATCCTCGAAATCCTCATCGGAAAATGAAGATAAAGAGCTATCAGTATCATCGCCAACACTCTGGAATAAGGATTCAGAAGTCTTTGCCGAGGCCGGCGTCGCGACCGCATCCAAGTCATCGTACAGCGTAGACTTCCGCTTGCTGGGCTTGGCCGTTTGCTTTGCGCCCGCTCCAGATTTGAACTCCTCACTACCAGGGGACCCACGCAGTCGCTTGCGAGGAACATGAGGAGGCATTTCGATGCGAGTTTCCAAAGAAATGCATTCTGAGTCTGGGAAGCGAATATAATCGATGCGGGTTTACGATTTCACACGAAGCAGATGCATTCCGTCATTCCGTCGCGGTTCGCGCTAAATCACGAGAGCACGTGATGCACTTAAGCTTGCACTAGACTGTGTGCCAGGCCTTGTCATCATTTCGTCGGCCTGACATGTATTCTAATAATGAACTGTCTCATGATAAATAGCATGTACGAACTAGCTCTGGGTATCGCTCCTCTTCAAACCCTCCGGCAGCATTATGTCATGTCACCAAGTGCTGCTCACATTTCTATCAAGTCCGCCGGTGCTCCAACTCCCCTCAACAAAATGACAGTGTTCCCGCTCTGCAATGCCGCTCCAATCTTTTCGCCGTAATCTAGGATTCTTCCTCCTTCAACATGAAATACACGCAATTTATCCTTTTCGTCGGAGCTCTGGTTGTTCACATTTTGGACTTGTAAACCAGTCGCAGCCTGGTCTAGTAAGCGGCCAACAACCCAGTCCTTGGAGAAGAAGAAATCGCCCTTGGGCAATTTGGCCTTGGCAGTTTCTGCCTCCGCCTCAACGTAGAGATAGATGCGCTTCTCCTCTGCAATTTTCTTGTCGCCCTTGGCGGTCTCCTTGAGCTTCTTTGTAGCCACTATTCGAGCAGCAGCTGAGCTAGGTTTCGGTTTCGGTAGCGCTCTTCCTGCCTGTTCCTTCCTGGCCGATCCCCAAGCCCTCAGCCTGTCGAGTGCTGACCGAGTCTTTTGCGCGACATCGATTTGCATTGGTCGGGCTCCAATAGGTACCAAGTTCTTGCAGTTGTGATCCTCCTTTAATCGATGCTTCAAGCAGTAATCGCGATTGCAAGAATCGCAGTGCACTCCGGGGGTCAAAGACGTCCCGACAACAGTCTTGCATTCTGGTGACGAGCAAGGCTTTTCGGACACCTTATCCCGTAGAGTCTTCCCTTGGCCAATGGAAGGCTTGGCCAAGTTGGCCTGTCTCTTCCGCTCTGCCCATGCTCCGGGGTTCGCACATTTGTGTGACGACTCTGTTCTATGATCTAGACAAAAAGTCTTGGTGCAGGACTGGCAAAGAAAGGGCAAAAAGTCGAGCTGGTTGCAGTATTCGTACTGGCAATGCTTGCCGACTAGCGCAGCGTCGGCTTTGTCTCTCATGATGTAGCTCGTTTCCTGAGCAGCGGAACCTGACGGTGACGACATGATGGCAGGGGAGAAACAATCAATAAATATATACAGATAGAAGGAGCTTAGGTGATGCGTGGCCAGGCAGAATAGAGCGTCGTCAAGGCTCTAGACTTGGTGGCGGCAGAAAGCTCAATGTTCAGAGCGTTGACTAAAGCTGAGGTTCAGCGGCGAAAGAAGCCTCTGGAAGCCGCGATAGGCCAAGCCGCCTGGCGCTTACGTACTGGAGCATGCGCCTCAACCACCAAAAGCTTCGACCTTGGTCAATCCAAATCCGAGTTGGCAGCAATATCACTAGCATGGGCAATTTGAAAAGAGAATATGACTCGAGTATTTACAACACCCATTTGCCGGTACTACGCGGGTTTGCGCTCCGTGCATGTCGGGCGAGGGTACGTGTTTCACTGACAGCAACCGCTCACTACTATATCCACGAGTTACAACCACACACAAGAAGCTATTCTGGTACCAGAGTCCATCAAATCAGGCATGTATCAGGTTGGGTTAATTTAACTTAGTGTATGTACAGTAATTTGGTTTAGCGCAGCATGAAAGAGTAGAGCACGAGCATCCTACCAAACGCCAAAAAAGAAGCCCTCACTCATCGCAGAATCGTTGCATCATTCCCTCTTCGGCTTGATCGGTTTATTAAGCATATCCTCCCGTCCTGTAGACGGCGCGGATCCCACATACTTCTGACCGCCAACAGCCTCGAAACCCTTGTGGAATACCCATTCCACGGCGTTTTCAACCGGCTCATCGAAGAGCCGGGGTAGGAAGGGAACAACAGACAGGCCCAGGCCGATAGGTCCCCAGGTGCGAATAGTGGCGTTCTTCACATTCTTCAGAGCTCTCCCAGAATATCTCACGACACTGTGGATGGTAAATGCGGGAAGCCCCATGCTAGCAATACTTTGGAAGATTGCTCTTTGGACCATGACAGTTCGCCAGTCTTCCAAGGGACTAACGACACCGGGCTTAAGCTTTAAAGCATCCTCAGCTGGTAGCCCGGTGACTTTCTCCTGATGAGGTGATAGGCGAAGCTGCGGGTTCAGCACACGCTGGTTATGCCAATACGCCCGGTATCCTTCGTGGGACACGTCTCCTAGAATATAAAGCCAAGAGATACCATATGCAGCACGGACGACTCGCGGATGTGCCACGGGCCGGAATGATTCTCCAATATCGGATGTATAGGCAACGTAGCGATGCGCAGAGAGAAGAATGGTTCGGAACCTGCTAGCATAGGCAGCATATCGTAGCTTGGTGTCGGTAGTCGGCGGGGCACTGTACAGTGATTAGCATGTACATGGTGGCAAGAAGGCCGGATGCCATGTGCTTACTATCCATCGATAACATCATCGAAAAACCGGCTGTCTTGGTCTGACTTGTCAACGATGTTTTGAAGTCGTTTGGGCAGCTTTTCTCGTGCTGGAAGCTTGTCTGGGTCGAAAGCTTGCTTCTGCTGTTCGGCGTTGGCGTCTGGCGATGGCTCAGCTTTGGGCTCCTTGGGCTCCTTGAGCTCCTTTGGTTTTCCCCACCAAGACATAACGGAAGATGCAATGGAATTTTCACTGTTTTGAGGTGAGAATTTTTGTTTCGTACGAGCTTCCGAACAGAACTTAAAGTCGTGAAACTCTCCCACACGTCGAGTTTGGTGATTGTTAATGGAGGGTGCGACCGGGATCACCCGCGAGGCTGGCCCAATGGATTCTGGAAGTGACGTCGTATCATTTCCCACACTCCGTGCCGCCGATACAGCTGCCACGTAGCCGGCATTTATCCGACTCCCGAATTGTTTTCATCCAAATCCTCGAAGCGCAATTCACCAATAGCTCTATTACTGCTCACCATCACCAATTCGCGCCACTCAACCTCTCATCACACAATTCTAGAGTCACAATGGCCGGTGTTGCTACCTACAACATTGCTGGCCGACAGGTCGGCGGTCACTACGTTCGTTTGTCCCCAACCTACGACTCTGAGCATCGTCGACTTGGAACCGTTGAACTAACCTGGCTCACAGCTGGCCATGGGCATCCTCGGAAGCCTTTTCGGCGGCGCTTACTATGCCACCTCTGGCCCCAAGAAACCCGCCGCTGCGGCGACTCCCCCGATCAATGCCTCCAGCCCCGACGAGGCTGACTTCATCAAGTGCGTTATTTCGTCCGGGCGGCCCAGAAGACTCGGTGGCTAATCATGGTTACAGGAAGTTCATGGAGGAGCAGGAGAAGAAGCAGTAAAAGGGAAGCAGTAGTAAAGGCGAGCGGAATGCTGTCCCACACGAACCGTGTACATAATGCACTGTATAGGTTGACGTTTTAGAATTGATTGGCGCAGTTTGCAAATTGCGCATTGGAACTTCTTATGCTTGGTTAATGCGGCCTACATGCAAGGAGCAGCATTTAACATTGTACATGCTAACGGATTCCTGAGTACCGAGGCGACCACCTTTTGGCCTTCGCTGGTCAGCGTGGGTGCAGCAACTACCCAGGTACTCTCATCCAGTTCCGTGACGTGTCAAGCTAGACATTTGGGCAAGTTTCGCGAGCTGGTAAACGTCGGTATATGCCAAGGCGGCGTTGAGCTGCTTCACATGCGCACTCCCCCTGGACACATGCTGTGACTGTCGAGACTAGAGGCACGTACACCAGCAGGGACGTCGGATTGCGCCTGTCGTGATCTCATGGAGTGACATCTTAAAATGATTCCTTCGGTATACATTGACGCTCGAAAACTGATGATCAGATACGACGTCCCCAATAGTGACTCGGTCGGGATCATGCGGCTTTGCGGCGATTTATTGTCGAGTCCGGGAGACGCAGAAACCGTGCCTTTGCTTCTATTACTTGGTGCGCTGAACAACATGACGACAGTCTCCCGGCTTCAACTCAACAATTATGAGTACCCGCTTCAGTTCGTCAGCGAACTCGTTAGTCTGACATGCGGTAAGCGTGTCGTGCAACCAGCCCTCCTGTTTAGCAAGTTGCCGGCGAGACGGACCGTTGCGACAGGTGCGGAAACACACCAGGTAGATTATTTTGTGCCCTGTGATGGTCATCCGAAATGTCATTCCCCTCTAGTCCCTATGCCGGCTTCGTCATCAGTGGCTGTCGTGTCTAAGGTTTGCAAGTGGCAGTTGGGAGGTGCATGTCAAGGGACAGCACTTGGCCCCATCACCCTTGGTCAGCTGCCGTGTGATGCAAAAAATCTATCATCTTTGACTATCACTCAAGTCTTCCAAGGGTATGTCCGACTCTATCCTTTTGTAACCTTTCTTTCTATGACTCTTGACCGCGTGCCTGACCCCCAATGCCAACAACACCACAAATCCTATAACCGCTGTACCAGATACCCATTTCCTCCACCCGCGTAGACAGCAAGGGTACCAAGACATAAAGATGCCAACAGCCCACTGTAGCCACGGCTTCCTCTCGCGTTGGTCGGGAAATAGTCCCTTGCGCACAAGGTGCTTCACAATCGGGCCCTGTGGCCCCGATACAAACCGCTTTAGGCCAAAGTAAGGAACCGTCTTTTGGAGAGGATGGTCATCTGGATATTGGGCATCGCCCCAAATGCCGGTGAAGTAGAAGAACGAGGTGAGATCAGGCGTGGCGGGGAGAGCGGGCGCAGAAGGAAACAGGCGCGTTAAAGTGAAATTGCTAGGTTCGAGATGGTAGAAATATGCCGAGAGGGTCGGGTCCCAGAGCTGGCCGGCATCGCAGTAATCCACCAATACTGTATCATGAATTTGATCACTACAAGGGGGTCATTAGAACTCGGCGTTACCAGAGAGATGGGTAATAGCCTTGGGCCGCGGAGAGGGAGTGCCACCAACCCGGATGATGCATAGTTTGCGTGTGAGCCGTATGCGCTGAAAACAAGAGGCTACAGAATATAGTTAGACGAGACCCCGTCAAGCTTGCAGGCCGCCACAGTTTACGCACCCGCCCGTCCTTCATGGAAAGGTCTGCATGATCCCAAGCATACGCAGCGCCGCCCGAGTGTTGACTGTAGTAGATGCCGTTGGGCTTTCCATCGCGGAAGCGGACCATGTTATGCTCCCTTTTGGAATGACTGATCAGAGCAGGCTCGCGAAGTATATAGACAGAAGGGAAGCTCACCAGTCCCCGACATGATCTCCAAAATGCATGCCGTGCTCAGTGTCCTTTATTAAGCGGTTAAGCGGCTCCAATACCTGTGTAATATTCGCGCCTCGGTCGTACGAGTAGAAATAGAAAAAGAAAGCATCCACGTCTCGGGGGCTCTGTTCAACAAGAATCACAACACAGGGGGTAGCGTTCACGATCCTACCCGACTCATCGGGGAGTTGGCCGAAGAGCCAGTCAGGCAAAGCTGTGACATCGTCATTGGATGTCAGGGCCACCTGTCCGCTACTCACGTTATTCAGCAGAGCGAGATTGTCCAGGTCGAGATCCGGCAGGTCAGAGATGGGCTTTTGATTAGCCGTGGGCGTTGTGTGACGGATATGTTGGAGAAGGTCTGCGGGCCGGAACGGGTCCTCCGAGTGTAACCAGACAAGCGGCGCTGTTTTCATGGATTTCAATCGTTAGCCTCAATTCGAACGCAGCCAAGCAAGGGCAGAGGGCAACAGCACGGATACACTGAGCATGGGTTGATTGAGACATTGCCCTGGCTCATGATTAGGTGGACTCATACCATAGCGCTTGACATAATCCGGCACGGGGCGGTTTGGATCGCCAAGGATCGACGAGGCCGACTTTTGGACGATGGGCTCTGAAAGCACCAACAGACACCGCGAAGCAATGACTAGAATGATGTTCAGATAGCAGAGCCGCGTAGCAGAGAAGCGTTGATGGGCCATGTGCGGGCGGACTGCAGCCGACACCTCAAATTGATGAGTGTGCGGTTTTTCGAGCTTCCGAGTACGCAGCAGGTGAGTGAAGCGAAGCTGGAAAATAAGTTGTCCATGTGCAGATTTATCATGGCCAGGCCGAGGAATCTTCAGCTTGCACAGCCCGTCTCCGGGACAGACACCTGGAGGCACCGGCTCCTTGTTCCGGCCCCCTGGTCATGAAGTGCCAAATATTGCGAATGTCTTGCTCCGCCGCGATTCAGCCTTCCGGCTAGCCGCCGCCGCTGCCAAGCGCAACAAGCGACGTACCCAAACGAGGCACGTGCAAGAGCTCTCGTTTCCACCGAGTGCCCTGGTAGTAGCTATTTCTGGGACAGAACAAGACAACAGACCTGGACATGTTTACCAAGTCGGCTTCATCAATATCACCACCACAGCTTGCGACCATTATTTTCATCACTTGTTTCTTGCCTAAAGAAGACATGTTGCATTCCATGTCTGTGCAATCTCGGTACCCTGTGGTTCAAACAAATACTACTACCTAGGTAGGTATGCACCCATCAATGATGTCTTGGGTCTTGGAAATGTCTGGTCAGCAACACCGGCGTGACTCCTCTCAGGTGCCCGTCAAGCCGCCGTTAAGAGTCCGGTTCCCCTTCCACGACTTGGCAAGTTACTCAACGCTTCCATTTTACAACCGAAAAATTCCAGTCATTGAATCCGCACGATATTCATTCCCCTTCGTCTCCCCATATAGTAATAGTACTGTGTGCAATCGGGGACGCAGCATCGCCAAGAACCGCCACCAAGCATGCTCACTATCCGCCCGGCTACACCCGCCGATGCGCCCCTGCTCCCCGCTGTAGAACAATCCGCCGGCCAAGCTTTTCGCCATATTTATGACCTCGCATGGGTTGCCGACGATTCCGGTCAATCGGTAAAGCGCCACCTCACCCTCATTGCGCAGGGCGTCGCTTGGGTGGCGCTCGAAACTGACCTAACCCACCAAGAGGTCCTAGTTGGTTTCTTAAACGGCGAAATCCTCGATGCCAATCTACATATCTGGGAAGTGTCAGTGGACAAAGACCATCAGGGCAAGGGGATCGGCCGAGCCTTGATGGCTCAGGCAAAGAAGTGGGCAGCTGAGCAACAGCTTCCGTTTGTGACATTAACAACATTTCGCAATGTCCCGTGGAACGAGAGGTTTTACAAGTCAATTGGATTTGTTACACTAGACGACGGTGAAGTGACGGCTGCTTTGAGAAGGGTGTTGGATGCTGAGGTCAGAGATGGGTTGCCGGCTGAGAGGAGGTGTGCGATGAGACTGTCGCTGCAATGACGACAGGAGGGCCTTGACAGGCTATACTGGAGCCTGAAGTCATAATTAGCTTGCGGATTTGCCATGATGCGGTGGGCACTGTGCAATAATTATTACCGCTAGCCCCAGGTCTCCTTAATCGACCCGGAATGAGCACAACGGACTACGGGCGGCCCTTGTCCAACCCTGGGGAGCGATGACCGACCCTCTTCACGACTAGGAGGATGCTCCATCGGTTCGTGAGAGAGCGAGGTAAGCATATCTCGAACAAAAGATACGAAAATAAATCGCGCGGCCACGATGCTCTCCATTTTTCTGTGTGATATTGGCATTCAATCTCCCTCTCATGCCGAGAATCAGCGGCATTTTTACTGTTGGTTATTTTGAGGGCCACTACGTTTTCAAAATGCCATTTCAGTCTTGGTGGTCAATACAAAGCAGGCAGCAGACGTGTGGTTACGGTGTGGGTTAGTAGCTTGAAATGTCTCGGGCGAGCCATACGGTTGACTGTGATCCCCAACCGCTTTTGACAAGAAGTTGAAATGTACTGTCCAGCACCTGCCCGCGCATTTCTGAGTACAAAGTCGCCGGGTTATAGTCAGGACAAAGCTCTTCGTTAACAAGTTCCTGCCGGGGAATTGGAGATCCTGAGTTGGGCGGTAACTGCCAGGCTGACTTTTTAGCGAAGGAGAGCATTCCACTCCTCGACACCAAGGCTAGCCACCGAAGATGTGCCATAGACCATCCGAACGTCCTTTCAATGCTCCGGAGATGGTTGAGCACAAGAGAAAGGCAGAGCGATCTGAGATTCCAAGTTCCCTAAATGGCTGCCACGAGGCTGGTGAAGGAATTGATGACTAAGCCAAGCGCCAAGTACCACCTGCCGATTTGTGATGACAGACGCAGAACGTCGAACAGCCATTTTACACCAAAACCCCCAACCAGCACATCCACCGAGTAGTTATTTGCCCACCAAACTGGCAGCTGTCCTCCTGCATATACACATGCACACCAGACCTTCATCCTGAACATCACCCGCCCGCAACCTGCTGACAGCTTACGTATGCATATGGGCTAACTGACCAATTGGGCAATATAGCAGATGCCAGCGGCGAGCTCGGGAGAAGCTGTTGGTTGTGGGTGTTATAAAAGGCATCCTTTGCCATGGGAGCCGTTGAAGACGGGACTTCCAGGTCTCGTGGCTCGCGGGCCTGTTGACTCGTTCGCCTTTCAGGCCGGCTTCCGCCAGTGATCATCAGGGAGGGCCTAGGTTGTCACCATCGGATTCCGAGCTTGCAGTTCCGGTAGCTGTCGGTATCTGCAATATTGAGGGCTAGCTATCCAGAGAGCCCGCCAGGATCCTGGAAGACCTGATTTCTTAACTATAAGGTCTTCAAGCTGATATAGTAGGTTTTCGCCGCTCTTGTTGGTCCAGCCTAGCTAGGGGTGATTATCATTCACCATCGACCAGCATCACCATCAAACAACTGTCAGTTCGTTATTCCCATGCTACCGAGTCCACACCACCAAGTTTCCCGACCCCTGTTACCAGAAAGGTGTTACGAGGCGTCTGTGGCGTCCAATGGGCCCACTGCCATCCCGACTCTTCCGGGCAAGACGAACTTTTCTGGCCGATATTCCCTCATGATCCCCGCTCGTAAACCTCCGATGGCCGAAACTCGTGTTCTGGTGCTCTGGTAGTCAGAGACTCGATTACATAATCGAACAAGATTCATATTCAAACCCAAGAGGCCATGTGTCAAGTATAATATGAGTATACACCAATATATAAACACTGCCAGCCAGCAAAGTCGCGCCCAGTCTAAACCTTCATCTCGTCAAAGATGGCGACGGCCTCTTGTAATGCCCGCAATTTGGCATACTGTACAGTTGGCTGGGTCGCCTTGTCCAGGTTTTAGGATGCCAATCTTTACTGTGCCCTGCCACTGATGACTGACTTGATGGCGGGGAGCTGCGCCGACACGGTATCATACAACACTTGGTTAAGAGGTGCGATATAAGCCAGGCCTGAATGCTTAACGGCGTAGTCCGCCAAGAGCGAACGGATGGCTTTCGAGCAGCCCAGCACAAGCCCACAGGCTACTTCAGATGTTGGATCATGCAAGGACGACTCATACTCTGGATACGTGGCGATGGTGATGGAGCATGTGTTGTCGCCAGGTCTGCGTGGTAGCCGCTGCCAAAGCTTCTCAGTCAGGAAGGGCATGAACCGGGACACGAGTCGCAAACCAGATTCAAGTATAGAGTAGAGTGTGTCCATGGCCGAACGAGCTTCTTCCGGAGTTCCATCTGACACGATGGACTTGGAATTCTCAATATAAATGTCGAATAATTCATCATACAAGTACCGGTAACCGATCTGGGTCGACCGTGAGAACTCGCACTCTCCGACTGCCTGGTTCATTTATTTTGCAGCAGTGTTCATCTTCATCAGGACCCATCTCTCTGCAAGGCTCTCCCATCCTCTCAAAGCGCTGTTCTCACGGGGAAAAAGTCGCGGCCAAGCTTGCCAAGGACATATTTGGTGGCCTGATGGATCTTATTACAGAATCTTCGGTAAGCCGTGCATCGTCTTGATATCGAAATTGACATCGCCGCCAGGCGGCTGGACGTAACTTGTGAGCGAGAACCGCAAGGCATCGGCTCCGACCTGAGGAATGCCTTGCGGGAAGGCCTTTTTTTGATACTTTTGGGCGTTATTGACTTCGCTTGGGGCGAGATTGCCGTGTAGCAGCCTTTGATGCAGATCGGCAACGCTGATGCCATCAAGTACGTCAACCGGTTCAATAACATTGCCTAGTGATTTTGACATTTTCCGGCCATGGCTATCGCGTATCAGGCCGTGGCAGAAGACTTCGGTAAAAGGGGACTTTGCCAGTCAATTTCATAGAGAACATGATCATGCGGCTTACCCAGAACTGTATAATGTCCCAACCTGTTCTCCAACGTTGTGTTCGGGAAGTATTCGAGATCTGACGTCTTGTCTGGCCAACCCAGCGCGCTAAACGGCCACAGCGCGGAGCTGAAGCAGGTATCTAACACGTCCTCGTCTCGCTTGAGGGTCGATTTCTTGCCGGGGAGCTTTTGCTCTACCTTTTCCCGAGCCTCACGTTCTGTTCTACCACAGACCCGGTAGTCATCATCACCATCATCATTTCCACCGTCTTCACCCTCGATACTGATCGATATGCCGGATCTGATGACCCCTCCACAATTGCCTTGACAGGCACCAGTCTTGCAGTTTTCGCATCCATTGCAAGTATTGTCGCCTCTGTAGCTCTGGTCGGATGACAAGTTCGCCGCTTTCAACCACTGCCATGGCAGGTTTCGTCAACGGCTTCATCCTCATCCACCAGTGGGGTTTCAAAAGGGGCTTGACAACATCCCCTGAGCGGCCGCATATCGCAACAACCATATTGTTCGGCTCCCGTCTCGCGTTGAGGCCGAGATTCTTGAGTTCCTCGATAACGCCGTATCTCGCATTAAATCTCTTCTCTCCGGCAAACGGGCCGGCGTTGCCATTCAGCGTACCATCCTCGTTCAGAATGTTAACTCAAGGGTAGGCAAGGCCGTGGAGAGACGGCATGGCCAATGAACAAGTCTGTTGGCTCGGTATGAGGCCTTCCCAGTATAGCTGCACAAAGGTCTCAGTGACGGCTTTGGACAACTGCGGACTCATTGTGAAGGCTTCCCGCGGCCAGTCTACAGAGATGCCGAGTCTACGGGTCGTCTTGTTGATCGCTTGATGGTAGTCCCCTCGTCTGATCCTGACATGACTGTACGAATTCAGAACGACTAATTTCTTTGCTTTTTGGACTTGTCATCTTTTGGGCGCCCGGCGAGCTGCTTCTCGACAATAGATTGGGTCGCAATGCCTGCATGGTCGCAGCCAGGGATATAGAGCGTTGAGAACGGTCGCACACGATGCCACCTTATGAGGGTGTCTTTTAACGAGAGTGCCAGAGCGTATCCGAGATGTAATCTGCCCGTCACCTGCAGCCAGTGTTGTTATGATATGACCGTGCTATCAATACTTGCATGAAGAGGCCCATGTATTAGGCGCTGGGATATTAAGACTTCCATCCTTCTCTGTCTGTGGCTTAAACGGTCTCTGGTCCTCCCAGAAGCTATACCAAGGGGATTCGACGACATTAGGTCTTATTCAAAGTCGTCGGCTAGTGGTTCCAATATTTTTTCTCCCTGTCCAGCTAGCGTCTCCCGCGCTGGCAGGCGACATTTTAGCAACTTTTCAGGGTGGTTTCTACAATATTCAACGGCGTATCAAGTAATTGGAATTGATATCGCGCAATACGCGATGTGCGATACAGAAACCTCCATCACCAATCAGTCGACCTTGATGCTCAATTCAGATGCAAAACACATCAACTTCCCCTCTCGTTCATCTCGAGATATCTTGGCATACAGCGACGGCTGTGGCGCCGACACCTCACATCAAGTCGCCAACATGCTATTCCCGAGCTCTTTGACGACATGGGCAATTCCCCTTTCATCCATCAGTGGCTCCTCGTCATTCCGTAAATGACGGGGACTGGAATATGCATAATCATCCTTGGGGACAAATCGATATCTAGTGAATGTAGAATGGGTACCTCTTTTCACTTCAATGGGCCTTCAATTATGAAACTCCATCGTTGTCTACGTGGCAGAAAATTCTAAAGTCGACCATACAGGGAATATCAGGATATCTTCCTTGGTTGTATCTCCATCCTACAAACGCAATACCCTCCTTTTATCCTTGCATTATGTGTTTCTCTAAATAGACTCAAATGATTCCCCCCTACTCTCCCTACATGAATACGACATAAAAGAATGCATAGTTTGATATTTGTAGACTGGTTGTAGGAACATTTCAAATCAAAAGTCTTGATGGTAGGTTGGTATTGGGTCCAGCATCATTCGGGAGCCTCGAGCTATTTACCCCATTTGGCATCACCGCTTCATGTTGTTCGTGCGGAGAGGAGAAGGCGATATCGTCAGCCATGTAGGAATACCAAGGGCCGTCACAGACTGAAAGTTTTGCACAATAGGGGATTGGGTAATTGAAGTCCATCTCCATTTTAATGCACGAGTTATCCGCTGCTAGCTTGAGAAAGTCCATCTGAATAGCGCATGAGGGGACATGAGATGAGAAATCACTCCAAGTCGTTTTGTTGAAAGCGCCACCTTTCGAATATATCGGCCTCGGCGGTGTAAGAATAAGAGCCCGCCATGGGGACGCTCATAGCTCTCCCCGCGGGTGAATTCTTGCGTCCGGGCAAGTCAGCGTTGGCTCTTGTAACTATAGTTGCGGAATTCACTGTGCGGACATCGGCATCTCCAAGACGAGCTTGAATAGGATGCTTTGTAACACTGACAGAAATCGAGAAAGCACCCGAGGAACAACGGAACGGCGGGAACTCGGAGCTCCTCCCATGTACACTATGCACCGCAGTGCTGGTTGTTCGTTCATTGCAGCATCGAGACATGGACCAAATCACTCCGCAGTCACACCTCTCAAGGGAGGCGTAACTCGGATTGTCTGTCATGTCGGCGAAGTAGACAACGACTCGGGTTACTTGGATGGCCATAAGTATTCGCTGCCAAAGTGAAACCAGCCGGCACCGACGCATCAAGAGGCTGCTATTACCCTGTAGCCTTCGGATATAGCTTGGACCTCTGATATGAAGCGTACCAGACGGCTTAGAAATGCGAAATATCACAGGATCCAGCACACCTCTCATCACAGGTTCTCTCCGTGGAGGACCGGATGCATGGCTGACTCCCCGTGGACTCCCCGTGGAGGCGACACAGAAACCACCGATGCCGATGCGGTGAAGACCCTAGCTTCCCATTTCCTGACGTCAAGCGTAGCAAGGCAGCGCTAGTCATTCGTCAATGGCGCAATCCATTTCCAGTGGCGCTTTGTTCCCCGGGCTTGGTGCTTAGAGCCTGCTTATCCCCGAATTTTCCGTAAAACGCGAAATGCCGAGAAGGCACGGAATTAGACCCACGTAAGTTGCCATGACGGGTCTGGGGAAGGGAGGAGGCAGCGTCGTTCTTCTAAACAAGACTAGATGGTGGGTGTGAGGCTCTTGAAGTCGGTGTGATATGTAATCCATATACATGTTGCATCATTATATTATGAGTCGGGCTTCCCCCCGCCTCCCGCGTCATTGCTTCTTCAAAATGTTTCTTTTAGAACTAACCGGTGTTGGGCACGGGAGACCGATCCAAGACAAATTACATGCTACATTCCTAGCGTTGCTCTCGGCCGACGGACACCGTTTGATTGCTCCTGTATAGGCCAGCGCTGTCGTCATACACCATCCACATATCAGAGCAAAAGCCCAACCGGTCCCTCGAGGCTCCTACTTGGTCTTCATCTTCACAAAAGACGGCCAATAAATATTTCACAGTGGCAAACCAACCGCCGTCATGACAGGCCTCACTCGCCTTCTCTCCCGGCCAGTCAACAAACCCTACCGAACAAGAGACCTCGACCATACAGAACCGCCGTTCCTCGACGATGCCGGTCTCCTCGCCTTCAAGCCAGATGATATCGAAAACCCCCAAAACTGGTCCACGCTGCGGCGCATCACCGTCACCATAAGCGCCGTTATGCTCGTCATGAACGCCACCTTTGCATCGAGCGCTCCCAGCGGGTGTATTCCCTCCATCGCCAAAGAATTCGCCATCTCAACAGAAGCGGCTGCCCTCACAATCACCCTCTTTCTGCTGGGATACTGTGCTGGCCCGCTTCTCTTCGCCCCCTTGAGCGAGTTGTACGGTCGACGATGGATCTTTTACATCTCGTTCACCATGTACATCGCCTTCAACTTCCTGTGCGCCTTCGCCCCCAACTTTGGCGGTCTACTAGTTGGTCGATTCCTCACGGGAACCCTCGTCTCGGCGCCCTTGAGCAATGCGCCGGGCGTGTTGGCCGACATCTGGCATCCTCTCGAGCGGGCAAATGCCATGGCGCTCTTCTCGACCATGGTCTGGATCGGCCCTGTGTTGGGCCCTGTTGTCGCTGGCTTTCTGGAACTCAAGAAGGACTGGCACTGGGCGTTTTACGTGCTCATCTGGTTGGGCGCCGGAACATGGCTGATCATGCTGACCATTCCCGAGACTCACGCCCCTACCATCCTTCTTCACAAGGCGAAGCGGGCCCGCAAGGCCAAGATTCCCGGGTACGAAAACGTAAAGGCGCCGGCCGAGATGCAGGATCGATCCATCAAGAGCGTCTTTGGGGTTGCGCTGACGAGGCCTTGGATCATCCTCTTCGACCCCATCTCGTTGCTGTGCGCAATCTACCTCGCTGTCGTCTATACGCTGCTTTACATGTTATTCAGCATCTACCCGATTGTCTTCCAGGAGAGGCGTGGATGGAACTCTGGCGTGGGAGAGTTGCCACTCATCGGGACGGTTGTCGGCGCCATTCTTGGCGGCAGCATCGTCCTCTATGACACCAGGCGACGCACCAAGAAGATTAAGCGAGGCGAGGTCAAGGCAGGGGATATGGAACCCGAGGATCGCTTGCCCTTGGCCATGGTAGGCGGTGTTGGGTTCGCAGCAGCCATGTTCTGGTTCGCATGGACAGCTGAATTCGAGTATGTTTGCCGCCCCGATCTCCTACGAACAGCCTGTTTTGATTCCGACCAGAGACTAACAGCGACTTCAGCTCCGTACACTGGATTGTGCCCACGATTGCGGGCGGCCTCCTCTCCACCTTCATGCTGCTCATCTTCGTCGCATACCTAAACTACCTCGTCGACGTGTACCTCATGTACGCCGCGTCCGCCATTGCTGCCAACACAATTGCCAGATCGGCCTCGGGAGCCGCGGCCCCCCTTTACACAAATCAGCTGTTTCATGCGCTTGGTGTTGGTGGCGGTGGCAGTCTTGTAGCTGGCGTTGCTACTCTTCTCGCCGTTGCCCCGTTCGTCTTCTACAAGTACGGCAAGCCGATTCGTGTTCGAAGCAAGTTTGCGCCGACCAACACCAGGGAAAAGGCTCGCGTCGAGGACGAAGAGGCTAATCCAACGGACTTTGCTGTCCAGAGCTCGTCAGAGGTTGATAGTTCTACGGACGTTGAATCGTCCCACACATCACCTGTCGGGAATGAGAAGACGGAAGAGCGCGATTTGTCTTCCGGAGGCCACGTCTTGGCTCCGAATGAGCCAAAGGGGTCTCGCCCATGAATATTTCTCGGCGCAGGGTGCAGATCTGGAACCAGATAATAGGAAGGCATTGGCGTGCATGACACTTAATGTTCCCTCCGGAACATGGCGACGATAGACAAGTAGTTAGCGAGCAATCATCATACCCTAATAGACATCAGCATCAGGAAGGACCGGATACCAAGGCAATTTCACCTTGTGACAGGCGTCTGACTCAGAAAAGAGTTGTATGTATCCAGAGAGATGTGTGTCAACTTGCATTGTCCAGACCAAGAGGGTGAGTGGTACATGAAGAGGAAGAGGAAGGAAAATATAAGTGGGGAAAATCGGGTTGCCGTAAGATTCCATTCCCGCCCAGAGGAAATACGATGACGAGAAAATACAAAGGAAAGAAACATGCGGCGAGTGTGATTCCAACACACGACGTCACATAGACATTTGTAGAATTCATGTTGAACTCTAGTCTAATCTCCTAGATTTTAATAGCCATCCACCCATCAGACATCATCATGAGTCGTCACATGACGCACGCACAACACGTACCCAAGTATACCCTGTATCGGACATGAGCAATGCAGAGAGAGACTCTTGGCCATCATTTCAAGCATTCACACCAGAATACTTCCTGGCCACCCACCATCGACAGGCAAAAGTCAGGTCACCCCAGGACAAGCCTGTACACTTCCAGAACTTCCACCCAACCACTCTGACGCATCAGACCAGTTGACATCTCAACGACAACTGGCCCCCCGGACCACCAGCGCCTCACGCAACACCCCGGCAAATCCCCGGCCCGCTGAATAATCCGCCCCAGCTCACTCGCACACTCCCACCACCAAGCCCGCCCATCACCAAAACCCTCATCCCATCAACCAAAGCAAGCAACCATGATGCGCCAACCCTGGCGCGCAGCCAGCCGCCGGCTGCTGCTCCTCCCGCCGCAGCCCAGGCCCATGCCCGGCATCCGCCCAAGACTCTCCTCCTCCTCCTCGACCGCGACCGCAACCGCCGCCGAGA